GAAGTTCGAAGATGATTCCCCAACGTGTAGTTAAAACGAATGTATCGGGGGAGAAAAGGGCCTTAAATTTTCCGTAAATTCTTTTGAAAAACACTCCGGCGCGCTCTTTCTCCCTTTAGGTTCCGACCAGACTCATTTCCGCAAGACGTGACGATTGACTCGTTATCAATTTGCCGGCTAGCGTGATAAAGAACAGCAACGATGTCCCGATATCCTCCGGGCCCTCGACGGTCGCTGATTTCCCGCGAGAGGACAAAAATACAAGCGAACGTGGTCTCCCGTCCCTTCCCTTTCCTCGCCGATGCTTCTTCCGGATCCCTCTCTCGTTCGTCTAATGTCCCTCGATACGTACTCGGCTCGTTTCGCGCTGCTTTTAAGCTCGATCGATCCCCGCCGATCAACCAGCGTACTTCCAGAAATTCCTTTACCGTTTGATCGAATATCGCGCGTCGTATCTTCGCTTACACTTCATTAATCTTCTTTGACTTCCAATTCAACTCTCGATTCTAATGCAGTCACTTATTCATCCTAACACTCTTTTCCCTACGAGATTTTCGCAGGACATGTAGATTATTCAGTCAAATACTCGATTACAAGTATCGGATGGCTGGAAAAGCCGACAAATAATTTTTCTTCTTCTTTAAGTATCTTTTAATTTTCAACACTTATTTTTTTTTAAATCAAACTTGTTTTTTTTTGTTGATTTTTGATGAGAATAAAGCGAATCGAAAGTGACTATCGAATGACTGGAGAATCCGTTTGCACGAGAAACTACCGCTTCTCTAGATCAATCGTGCTTTGAATTTCATCCTTTCTTCTTTGTCTGCACTTTCTTGGCACTCGGTAATTCGATCTGTCAGTTCTCTGTTATTTATCGTTGCATAAATACGTAAATGCGATTCGTCCGATAAGGATTTTGGAAATTCCGAAGAGAATGAAAACAAAATACGATCACTCCGCGTGTTTATACGTTCTCACTTTAATTGGTAAACTTATATTACCGCACATCTGCTCATCGCCCAGCAAATATCACTGATGACACTCTGTTTGCCGATCCGCGATCAATCGATTCGCGCTCATATCTAACGCGCGCATTCGTCTTCGATTACTCGAAGGCACGTCGCGGGCCTCAAGAGGAAACGCACGGAAACGCAAATCCTGTTCTTCCACATTTATGCGACCTTCTTCGATTCCTCTCCATCCTTCGATATCGCGACGCGTGCTTCACTTTGAGATCACTCGCGCAAATAACTTGAAGACCTTGAACGTTTGATGACCCAATTCAATGGGCGCTTCTGCGTACGGCGATCAGTCCATCGAGTTGCGGGAACGACCACTTATATTACCGTTTACCGTTTTTTGCCACTTATACATTGCGATTCTACGAGTTTTCGCAAATGGAACCTATACAATCTGTACACGCGCGCGCACGCGTGTATGTGCGGTGAATGTCGTGTGTGTGTGTGTGTGTGTGTGTCGTGATTATTCGAGAGGACTCGAAGGGAAGCTACAAAACGCCCCCAACTAGCCGATCGATCGAAACGATATTTGAATTCCTTATACGACTCTTCCCCATCACGATCGCTCGTCTTCCACGTAGTTCGCGGCTTTCCTCCCCTTTCACTCCAACATGTTCGATCCTATAAACGATATCTCCGAACACCAAAACAAAAGTAAGACCAGATGTAGTGTCTAATAAGATCTAACTATCGTTGAGTTGTTGTTCGAAGATCCATCAAATGAGACTAAAGATAAAGAGTCCTTTTAATTTCTCTGTCCGACCGAATCACGGGTTTATTATTTCTCTGTTATGGGTCACTTCAATGCAAACCTTATTGTAACTAGAATAAAGGACTTCTAGGAATAAAGATTCCTATCATGAAGCAGCACTTCTCGTATTCCGCAATGTCATCGTAAGGATGCAAGAAGTAAAACGTCTATTCGCATTTAATGCAATTTTAATAAACTCATGATTCCTCGTACAATATTACGAGCGTCACGGTAGATTATAGCGCTGGTGGTTCATAACATTTGATCCGTTTCATCATATACGCAATTATTATTTTATATGTATAAATAATTCAAGGAACGAAAGCAAAATTAAAGCAATTTTATACAAAGAGACAACTTTGATAGCAGTTGCGATATTTTATCTTGTATTCTTCCGATCTATAATATATAAGTGCGCGTTGATATTCGGATATCTAAATACACGACGCAAGAGAGCGGTATTTATATAAAGAATGATCCTCTATATTGTCAAAGGATATTCAATTTCACGTATATATGTTATCGTAAAAAACAATCAACAAAAATACAAAAAAGCAAATTAAGATAGCAAGCTTTGATATTTTAATCGAATTTTTTAGAGATTCTATGACCTGGAGATTTTTATAATATACATGATACGCACGTGTACAATTTATCTCAATAATATTTCCGAAATTTTGAATTTTGTAATCATAAAAGAAAGCAATCCATTAATGCAGAGAGAGAAAGAGAGAGAGAGAAAAACTTGGATATTCCAATATACAATATTTCCGGACTCTCACAATATATGATACAAACACTTTGACGAGTGCATCCGACGTCAGTGTTCGATCGCGCGAATAAGAACCTTACGCGAATAAGAAGCCTAATTTTGCTTCTGGAATATGTGACGTCGCGGTCGCGAGGAACGGTCCTCCGATAACACGGGATGATGTTGGCGATTGGCGGAGGAAGTTGTCGATGAATGACATCGGCGTGCAATATAGATGAATGGACGACATATCAAGTCGACGAATGTGCCGACGACGTCAGCGAGCAATCGCATTAAAATGGAACACGCAGTGGAACGCGAGCGAACGAGCGAGCGGGCGACGCTGCACAATGTTAATCCGCGCGACACGTAGCAACCGTCGACAAAATCCCGGTATCATTCGTGAAAATTAACACGCACGAACCACCGTGTTCCGCAAGCGAGTGCCAGCACGGTAAAAAACACGGCCAAAATGCACGGGAGGTTGACACAGTGTCGTGTGGCATTCGTAGCTCGAGTATAACTGGATTATCGCCAACGACAACGACATAACGTCGGAACGGAATCATCGACTGATCGCCACTACAAGGTCTGTCCGAGTGTACTCGCTCTATGTGTATTCACTTCGCCGCTTTATAACTGGATTAAATATTATCATAAACACCGCGCATGAACTGACGGCGTGCACTCACGACTGCAGTTTGCTCGCTCATGAACAAGAGAGTTTCTTCCTCGATGAAATCAATAAATAAACGCACATACACATTTTTCTATATAACTTATCGATCTATATTACATAGAAAAAAATTATGTGTGTCAATATGAATCTGTGCTAATTTTATTCAAATGTATCCAAATGTATGTATATATTTGTATCAATAAAATGTAATCAAAAGACACAATTATATAATAATCGGAAAATATAATAGAAAATTTAAAGTTTAGTTACTTATAGATTGTAAATGCATCAATTGTATGTCATTGAATATATAATTGAATATTATATATATTTCAATTTA